TAAGCACGTGAGAGAGGGAGAGAAAGAGAGAGAAGAAGAGAGAAGAAACTATATTATATCTGCGTTCACACTGCTACAAGGAAGAAAAAGAGAGAAATATATATTATAAACAAATATATACACACCAAAAGACATATACACAGGATGAACACGACTTTTTTCATTAAGAAGGCATTTTACAATTTGTATATAAATGAATTATAGATATTACACATACGAATCTAGGTGTACGGAATTAAGGCGTTTCGATCTTACGATGTGTATAAGTATACATAATTGCGAGATTAACATTATATATTATTTATCATATGAGTGCGCGAGTACATGACAAAGAAAAGAAAAAAAAAAAAAAATCCCATTCTCGATTTTCCATTTAAACTACCGTTTGATTAAATGATCCAGAGATCGTTGAGAGATCGTGGCCGTAACCACGTAGAGAACTCTAGCTATTGTAGATCTCGTCACGCATGGACGCTCGATCGGGTGGAATTAAATTTAAACCAGAAATAATTAAAAAAAATTATACATATATACATATACATGTATATGTACATATATATGTATATGTATAATGTATACACACAGCAGACATATTATCTAACGAGAGAAAAAACAGAATAATCCAATCCAAAAAGTCGTAGAACACGAGAATTAAAATATCGTCCCTTGATCTTTATTAGTTACAGTTTTACCTACAAAAAGTCAATCCATTCGAGACACGAAAAGCACGTATTTCCGAATAGATAAACGCGTCATACTATAGTCGAACACGAGCGGAACAATTCTCTTGCCTTTTATCGACAAGTAGAACGTATTCGAGACGTATTTTTAAGACGTACACAACACAAACACACGTACACATACGTACACTATACAAACACACACACACACACATACACTGGATTGCATACACACGCGTAGCATAAGTAGTGGAACTTCGTTTACCCCTTCACTCGGTCTTCCGAGTGAATCCAAAAAAAAAAAAAAAAAAAAAGAAAAAAAACGGCCAGGAAAAAGGACGACCCGACGTGACAGGCATTTTTTAAAACATTTTTATTCATTTCTTACCCCCTACGTTCCCGTTTCCGTTTCTATTTTCATCTTTCGTCATCGTATCGCGTTACTTTCGTTACGTGCCGTTACGCGAGTTCCTCCGTCAACCCTTAAAATTCATTATTTTTCAGATCCATCGATCACTCATCGAAACAATTCCGCGAGAACGAACAGTAACGAACGAACAATAAACGTTTCGTTCATATAAGAACGTCATACCGTGTCGAATGTACGAAAAGAAAATTCATGCGCGTGGATCATTCGTAAAAAAAATTCGTAGAAAAATCGCGCTACCTCATAATACATAATAAAAAAAAAAAGGGGGTTGGAAAAAAAACGTGACTTGCAACTCCGTCGTGTTAACAATCTCTCACGCTTCGATCACTAGAAGATCACATATTCGTTTCGAAAATCAAACAAATTCCTATTCACGATTTACATGCAATCGCGATTCACGTGTAATTAATTGTTTAAGGGTTAACGAAAACGATGAACCGCAATCGATGACGACCGATCCATCAATGGCCACGTAACCGGAAGTATTCGCGATTCGACGAATCAACGGTACGTTATATTTGATCGCATAATCGCATACCTATCGGTAAATCTTCTGTTGGAGAGAAAGAGAGAGAGAGAGAAAGAAAGAGAGTGTGTGTGTGTGTGAGAGAGAGCGAGAGAGCGAAAGCGCGCGCGCGAAAGAGAGAGAGAGAGAGAGAGAGAGGAAGAGAGAAGTGACGAGAGAAAAAAAATTCGATAAATCGATACATATTACTGTATCCCCGTTGATACCACGTCAGAACGAACGAACGAACTCCATTTGTAAAATATTAGGATAGGAACAAACAACGATCGATTGGAATGACAATTTTCACGGCTCGTTAAAGAAGTTAAACACGAAACATGTTGCGAGCGTTGTTTAACATGGAAACGAAGAATTCGAAGAAACTTAAACGAAATTAAAATCGCATTTCACATTCTTTCGATTGAGGAGAATTTCATTTTGTACGCTCCTCCTAATGAATGAACAAATGATTTTTGATCGTTTACACTAATTAGCAGTAAAGGACGGTAGCCTTTTCGAAATTATGAATAATAATTACTACCCCCTCCCCCCTCCCCCCTCGTCCTAAATTTAAGGATCATGCATCCCCCGTCCCCCT